AATTAATGCCACAAATTGCACCCTTAAAACGGTTAAGTTGGCAAATTCTGCTATACATATTTCACCACAATTTTAAAATATAATTCAGATGACATTTTCTTTGACAACTCTCCAATAGCTTTTCATCTCCTTCAGAACGAAAACTCAAATTTCCAAAATAGCCACAGCAACCCCTACACAACCTCTTCCCTGCTCTTTCCTATATAAGCTTCTCCCTTACGGTTCTTGCCTTCCTCTAGCTTACTGGCTGGCCTCTTAGGCTGCTCTCGGAATACAATAAAGACTCTCTCAGGACTTTGCACTTTCTTTTTCCTTGGGCAACCATAAGATAATCTCTCACTCCCTTCAATTCGTAATAAAAATTACCTTCTCGGTGAGGTCTTCCCTGACCCCTGTAGTAAAATTACAGCTCCCACCCCCTCGCACTCCTCACCCCTCTGTGTTAGTCTCCATAGGAGTTTCATCTCTGACGGACATGCTACACGTTTGACTTTTTGCATGTCACTTTTCACTAAAACGTGAAATCCAAAAGCAAAACGATCTTTCTGTCTGATTACTGTTCGTATTTCTAGTGCCTAGGCGCAGCCCTCAACAAATACATGTTGAATTTATAAATACAGGAAGGACTGGGGATGTAGTTCAGTGGTACAGCACTTGCCTAACAGGCAGAAGGCCCTAGGTTCAAGCCCCAACAACACGGAAGGACAGGGGTGGCGGCAGTATTCAAGAATATCAAAATATGATCTGCATTGACCATCCAAACCTCCTAACCACTTCTGTACAGAGCATAATCTATAAACATACAAAGCCTAAATTGCTCCGATTTTCAGACTCCTACACTAGCATCCTAAGGACCTCACTACCCTTCCCACCTGGGAGTAGTATTTTTATATATCAAACCTACCCAGAAAACAACTGGTATATAACCAGAAAAAAAAAAGGTCATCAAATCAATGTCTGAACTCAAAAAATCCAGCCTAACTTGCTAAATGACAGATAGCAGGCTATTTTCCTCGACTTCGCTGAGTGAAGATGGACTGGCTGGATTTCGGCATAACAAGGGCGTTATGTGAAAGGCAGCTCCTAGGGGCACTCCAGACTACCCGCCGGAGGAGTGAGCGGTAAACACACTTTCTCACGAACAGACGCTCCCAGAAGGCCTGTCTGCGATCGGGGGCGGGGGGAGGGGGCTTTTTAGCTAAGAGTGCTATGCCCCAGGAGACCGAGCTGCGGAAACACGCGTGGGGAGAACACCTTACCTGGGAAGAGCCAGCTCAACCCGGCTTCTCCTTCAGCTGGACGACGTGCGGAGCGCCACAACACCAAGGCTTGCAACCCAAGCATTCAGGCTACGTACTAAATCCACCAACTTTATTCCCGCGCTACTGACGGAGAGGACAGGGAAACTTCACCGGCGCACACTGTATACCTCAACTCTGGGAGACAGCCCTTCCACCTCCCCCGGCTCCGCCCCCAGCCGACGGACTACGCGTGCGCAGACGCGGGCTGCCGCTGAGCACTTCGGGAAACGTAGTCTCCGTGCAGGTGCCGGTGAGCCGCCAGAGTCCCGGCAGAATCCCGGCAAGTCAGGGCACTCCCACCCTGCGGCCCTTATTCCCATCTTCACACCTGTCCAGTCACCTCGCACGCACCCTCCATCCCTACGCGCCTGGCTTCCGTCAGGGCGCGCTCCGAGGAAGAGCACGAGACGCCCCTCTTTCCCCGGCCGGCTCTGCTGGGGAGGCGGGGTCCACCGCCCGCCCCCCGCCGTCAGCTCCCCGCTCCCCCTCCCCCGGCGGGTGTCGGGCTGGTGCCCGAATC